AAAAATTCAAAACATCCCTACAATTACTGATTTTAGAAAGCCTAACTTCTTAATAGGAAAATCGCAAAAAAAAAAAATCTTAAAAATAGAAAATTGTGAATAAGGACCCGTTACAATATTAGTATTGATTTTGATAACAATTGATAAGCAAATGACAATAATTTTTATAAACAGGTCCCTATATACAATTTTTCAACTTTCAAGGTCTTTTTATGATTTTTCCTAACTTAATTCTATAGTTAGTGTATTAAAAAGAAATCTTACTTCTATAGTTTCTTTAGACCATATAAAAAATTATTTAAAGAAATTAATTGTTTAGTCCTAGAGAGGTCGTTGCAGTGTATCAAGTTATAACCTCAAGAATCAGAATCATAACCTTCAGCAGCATAAATAGGTACACATTGTCAAAATATTGGAAAGAAATTTTAACGTTTAAAGTCTTTAATTGTGGGTAATACAATTTTTGAGCCTTTAACCTCCTTTTCTAGTGCTAGTACCATCAAGCCATTAATACCTACCCTCTAATTCTAACTACTACTTTTTTTTGGTCTCTTGAAAAATTTAGTTGTTTATATTACCTCCGGTCCTAATTATAAGAGCTAGTTGACTAATTTTAAGAGATTAAGGAAAGAAGTTAAGTTAGTTATTTGTAATAAATAGATATTGTCTTTCTTAAAATATCCTTACTAATTAAGTGTATTGGCTAGAACTACCATTATTAGAAAGACTACTTAAAAAAAATACATAAATATGAGAGATAAAGTTGATTAGAGTCTTATATTTAGGACCAAAATAAAAGTCAAACAAGATCTGATATGAAGGATTAGAGGTAGTATTAAAATTATGTGAATGACAAAGAAAATCATGTTAAAAAACCTACTTCTAATTAGACTCAACAATATTTCAATCTTTCAATGTCGGTGATAGGATTAGATACTACATAGTTGTATGAAAAAATTAAAATTTGAATGGAATAATAATAGGTAAGAGACACAGGCAATGTCTTTTGGACACCAAGGTGGGTCAGGAAGGGCCATTACATGTTAGGGCAATAAGACCTATGCACATCCACTACAATAAAGCACAAGGAAGTGCACATTATACTTTGCATACCCATATGAGAAAACTTAAAAAAGAAAAACTTATGAAAATGGCTGGTTGGCACTCACAAAAGGTATCCTATGAGAGGAAGAATAAGAGGAGCAAATGTAAAGCAAAACGAAAAAACAAAATCACTATTCAAAAGTTGGCTTTTTGTACAAGTTTCCACTAACAATGAAATATGAACCAAAGAGAGAGAGAACTCAGCTGTGGAAGGAATTTCAAATTGTGGTGACACAGTAGTATTACTGCAACTCCATTGTGTGGATCAGCAAAACAGGTCCCAGCAACAGTGAGATCATCAAGTGTTTTTAAGCTAGTGAAGAACTTCTCAATGGGAAGAAACATGAGGGATCAGAATGAGAATAAAAATCTGAAAGGGAACAACTTCAGAATTGATTCATCTATAGAGGACTAAAATAGGATTTAGTCAAACCCCATGTCTTCTTTGGTCCTTCTTTACCTCCAGATATAAGCATGCAGAGTAACAACCTCACATGATTAAAGAAACCGATTTTATGGTTCAAACTTCAAATGCGTTCTGCTAGGCCTAGTTTATTGTAGTTTAGTGACATGAAATGCTTTCTTGTAAGCAAAAGATCGTGGATTCGAACCCATTTGTAATCTCAAACTGTTAGTGCTTGCCTGTAAAAGGAAACTGCAGTGTACTAAAAGCCTAAACTTCAGTTTGAAACACGCACGCATCTGAAGTTTTTTCTGTGGTCAGAATGGGGTTTGATACTTCCATCAGATAATAGGTGATTTTTCCAAGGGCTCTTCAACTTTTTCCTTTTGAACCATGAGGAGAAAGGTGTGGGGCTTCATTCAAAGGTCAAAACAGTAAGGAAACAGCATGATTACAGTGAACAGATTGATGAGCCTAAGAGTGCGGTCCACATGTCCAAGCAAAAGAACTGAGATTTTAAAAGTTAATATGTTCCAATTAAAGCTGCAGAAATTTTTGAGAAAATTAAAGATGCCCAGGTGTTTGGAGCCCAAATCCTGTTACAACGAGCCCTTGATGTGGATGCAGAGTATTGACCAATAGCATGAAGCATCTGCTTTGAAAGGCCCACTACGTCCAAAAACATACAGCAACAGAGGAAATTTTATGGCAAAAATTTGTCTGCCTTTACCTAAAATTCCAAAAATTTTTGGCTCATAACTTGCAATAACTTTGAGAAGCTTCATATTCTCAAAGAATCAAAATCTTAACATACATCTATTGTGACCATTAGGTGCAGTTTTCGTTGTTTCTTTCACTCGTTTCACTCCCTTTGGTCACCTGCTGTAGGGTTTTGGGAAGGATATAGGATCAGCTCTATATATTGTAAATATTAAAATTGTTATGAATGTATTTTAGTACACACCCCCTTATTACAAGAAGGGCTGGGATGTTTGGTTTAACTTATTTTAAATGATTTTGCACTATATGAAGTAGATATAATAAGAAATTTTTATCTCATAAAGCATGAAAATAATTTTTGAAGGTGATCCCAAAACCCAACTTAATTTGAGTGGGTAAAACTCTGATGTTGGTGGTTTGGTTGGTCAGAAACAAACTACCTTTTGGTTAGGACATATTTAATAACTAAACTTTTATTTTTTAGTATGTAAGAAAAAAAATTATCTGACTTCTTATATTACAGACCGGAGGCGGAGGGAGCAATCAATGAAATTTGCGATGTAATTATGTGTAATGGGTGTGTCATTTTTTCAAAATTATAAACAGAGAAGCAAACAATTACACCAATTAGTTATCTTGCCCAGCTCACTGCACGGATGCTCAGTATATGACTTTTGATCTCCTATTGGGTGTTTTGCCTCAAGCTTTAAGACTTTTGCATTGAAAATCAAGCCCATTCATAGTTTTTCCCTATTTTCTTTTTTTATGGTTTCATCCATAGGCTCTGTTATTTTGTTTCTTATTGTTTTTTAAACCCATCATTTTAGTGCAAGCTTCGCATATTTCACATATTTATAATTTGATAATTAATGTATTTGATCTTTTATCAAAAAGGGAAAAAAATGTTAAAATTACTCATTAGGTGCTCTGTTTCAACATGTGACTCTCAGGAATGCATAGCGTCTATTCTGTTCAGGTATTCACTAATTCTATGTGTAAAATTAATGTGATTACTCAATGCCAAAGAGTCATTATATATTATCGTTCATAGAACGCAGCCATTAATCCTAAGTGGAAGACTTGTTCAAAATCTCTGGCTGTCTCAGTCATTTTCCCTGAATTTGATTTGATGTGTTTTGTTTCCCTTCATTCATGGCAAAATAAAAAAAAGTCTTAACTTTCAATCAATTTCACACGAAAGGAAATCTGTCCCTAAAATTTGTAAGCTCTTCAAAAAGATGGAATCTGCCAAATTGAGACAAAGTTGATTGAGTCAACCACAAATAACCATGCAGGAATATTAGACACGTTTGCTCAAAAGGGACCCACCTCTAATCTGACAAACTTCAATGTCCAAAACTATCTTTGGTGTTCTTCATCAACCCAAGAATTTACATACAGCCACGCTTTTCTTAGCCTCCTTCAGTCCATGTATTATATATATGCGTTTGTATATGCATGCTGAATTTGCACTTGAAAATGTTAAGAGCACAGACCATTGCTTACCCACAACTTCATGCAGAAGATAGATCCATTAATGGCCTATCAAAACTACACAGTGATGTGATAACTATAAGACAGTCCAGCTTTTAGCTTCTGGTCTCACATCGAAAAAGCTTCTACTACAAAATGAGGATCTAGCAGTTATAATTTGTATCCAAGTTTATTCCTAAATCTAATCCACTTCAATAAAGGAGAATCAACCATTTTTAGCCGAATGGAAAACGATCAAAGATGGTTAAGATCCAAATAGTGAAATGCCATATTTAGACACACTTCACATGTCCATATAGTGAACCACACACACCACAGCCACAGTGATGGTGGGGCCTAGACACCCCTAGGGCAACTGAACCAAAAATAGCAACACAAAAACTTGACTGGACCCCATTTCTAGCATTTAAGTGTGAGCGTAAAAGTCAGAGCATGTTTCCTAACGTATTTGTGAAGTTGATTGTGCCCTTAAGTCGTCCTTCCAAAGTCATCTTGTTGCACTAATGGATTACTCACTATTTCTTTTAAGTAAGCTTAGGTTTCCCCACTGTGGAAGACTTCGGATAAGAAAGTTGAAATCTGAATAGACTATAACTAGCATGGAAGCAAGAGCTCATTTCTAACTTTCTTTTATACTGCCTCGGTTCCTCGTTATAAGATCTCTTTTGTAGACTACAAATGAAATCCTATAATTAAAACTTGAGACAGTATATATATATGGCTATCCCGCTAGTTAGGAGCATTGTTAGCTCTATTGGAAAGAAATAATAATAACTTGGTTATGAACAAGCCACGGGAATTGAACCCGCACATGGTGGATTCACAATCCACTACCTTCATCCACTTGACTACATTCCCCCCGTACTATCTAAAAGTTAAGAAAATATGCATTTGTATTCTTTTTTTTTTCATTATTTTTAAATTTGTACTCATCTTCTAAAATACGATAGCTCTCACAAAGGCCTTTCTTGCATTCTCGAGACGTCATATTTAAGCAACAAAAGTCTCTTCAACCAGGACCAATACTTATTAGTTCCAACTTGCTTTTTAGAAAGACTTGAATAGATTATTCTAGCATGCTAGTCCAAGCATGAAAGTCAAGAGTATTTGTGAATTTGTGAAAGACTTCATCAGTGCAATGATTCACACACCTTGGGTAGTTGATGTACAGACCTTTTGGGATTAAATCAAAGCCATAGACCTTAAGAACAAGAGGTTGTGTGATATGAAAGAAAGAATCGCAAATCTAAGCAACAGAGAATGATCCTTCAGCAGCATATAACAGAGCAAACAGAGTAATTTATAATATAAAAAATTATGAATATCTCCTCTTTTGTTACATAATTACATTTACAAGACAACATGGTATGGTTAATAACTTGATCAGTAGAGCCTAACTAGACCACAACGAATCAGTACCTTATCCTAGTTTGTACAGTATCTGATCTATCAAAACTAATTTCATAGGACAAAAATTAAGAGAAAGAGTGTAAGAAAGAATAATCAATCATAGTAGGTGGGAGATAATAAGGTCCTACACACCAGATTCTGATGAATCTGTTGAAAAATTGAATGAAAATGATGAATCTTGACTGGTTGAGGAATCAAACCGCGAATCCCTCTGTGTACTCAAATGGATTTCATCTCCGAGCAATTCCGCTGATAACGCCGCCGCCTTGCCCTTCCCTTTGGAGCTGCCATTCTCTTGCACGTCCGCAATTCCATCAAATGCCCCTAAAGCTCTCAATCTCACATCCATGGCTACTTTCGCCCCTCCACATCTCACTAGCTTCAGTAATCCCGAAACAGCATTCTCCTTCGTCTTCATGCTCGCCTTATTCCCCATATCCAGAAGATCAGCCAGCACTCCGATTCCTGACACCTTCCGAAACGCTTCCACACTCTCTTCGCAGCCCGCGATTTGCGCTATCACCGCCGTGGCATCCTCCACAATCCCGACCTTCCGGTCCTTCGCAACCAACGAGAACAGAGCTTCAACCGCACCGAGTTGGATCATCGTGCACCGATTAAGCGGATGAAGCGCGATTCCGAACAGAGCCTTGAGAGCGTCCTTGATCGATCGGGTCGTCGATTTGGGGGTTTTGATGATATCCACGAGAGCATACACAATGTCACGCTTGGAACCAACAATAGGCCTGTAGTTATCGACGACGACGAGGCTGTACAAGGTGGCGGCGCAGGATTGAACGGCGCAAGCAGACGAAGTCGAGTTATGGTGTGAAAGCACGTGCGAGATAGCGTCGAGGACTCCGCGCGTGGACATGAGAGGCTCTCTACAGGAAATCGAAATGTTGAGAAGCGTCGCCGAGGCGTTCTCTTGGAAAACGTGGGAAGACGAAAAGAGGGTATCAACCAAGTACGGAATCGCACCCGAATCAGCGATGACGGGTCGGTTTTCTTCGTCCTCCTTGGTCATCAAGCGTAGCTCGCGCAGAGCATCAAGCTGGGTCTGCTCTGAAACAGAGCTCAGCCTGCCCACAAAGGAGCGAACCCTTCGACGCTTAGTCTCCATTGGATTTGAGTTCTGGGTATGAGAGAAGAAGAGGATAAGAGAAGAAGAAAGCGAAAAAAGCGCTTGTGGATTAGGAGAAGAAGAGGACAGAGCCGCCTTTTATGAAGAAGGAAGGAATTGGATTGAAGTTGTCGTGGGGAGGGACCCATTGACATTTGACAGGTCAGAAAGGGCAGTGAGACGAGGTCTTCGGTCCTTCCCAGACCAGCCCCACGCCTAGATTGCTGGGTTCTTACCCAAATTCAATAGGACAAGGATCTTGAATTCAATAGGACATTTTGGTCGGAAAAAAATTCAATAGGACATGATATATGGTGGCTTAAAAAAATAAAAAATGATGCAGTAGTATAAATGATATGTTCTGAAAAGAAATTATAAGAGCCAGATTATTCCAAAATACTTAAATTTGAGTGTTGATACAAAATTTTAAGTAGGACTGATATTTATTTTCAAAGTACCTTTTCTGTCTATAATTTAGATTTAGAACATTGTGGCGCCTTTTTTCTTTTTTCTTTTTTTGCAAACAGAACAATATGACAATAAACAAAGAGTAAACATGAAAAAAAAAAAGCGTAACTTTTTTTTAAAATAACAAATAGATTTTTTTACATATACACTTCGTATCCTGACGAACCCTTCAAGGATTACAAACCTTTTGGTTAAATTGGAACAACTCTTATCAGTTGATCCAAATACTCGGTGGTTATAATGAATAGATTTTGACACCATTTTAACTTGTGTATTTTTATTTTTAATATAAGATTTATATTTAAAAATGAAGAAAGTACCCACTCGTGTGCATTAATATATGTGATCGTTGATTTTTTTTACAGAAGAAACAAATAATTAATTCTCAAATATTAAGAAATGTAGTTAATGAAGTTGAATTCAATAACTATGTTAAGAATAATAATTGATAGTTTTTAATAATTGATCCTATTAAGATTACGCATTGTTGGTGAATGTAAAAAGAAAAATTGTAATAAATGTTCAAGATAAGTGATTTTTTTTTAACCAACAGCAAGGGTCTGTTTTGCTCAATGAAAAGAAGCGGAGGTGGGAGATTTTAATAGATGGAAAGGGAGCGAAGGAGAGTGGAAAAATTTTAATATTACCTTATTTGGATTTCTAAAAAAAGAGGAGAGGGGAGGAGTTTTAATATTATCTTGTTTGGTTCACAAGAGGAGGGGAGGGAAAAATATTTTAACATAGACAATTTTACCCTTATTTTATTTAAGATTTTTTTTTTCAAATTTTATAGGATGTTTAATAAAATAGAATTGTAAATAACATTTAATATATTGAGCAATACTTATATCAAAATTCTAATATACTCTAGAGCATGAAGTATTATTGAAAAGAAGACTGAAGTAATGTTCAGCCACAACTTGTACTGTATCCCATCTTTGAATGAAATATTTAGTCAGGCAAAGGAAAGAGCAGCATCTAAAGACAATAAGAAAAAGATTTAGGGTAGTATAGGGATATTAAAAATAAATATAGATGTAATAGTCACAACATGACAAAATATTGTCATTTCCCTTCAAATTCTCCCAATTTTGGGGGGAGGTTGAGAAGAGAGAAAAATTTTTCCTCCTCTCCTAAGACTTTTATGTTCTCAAACAAGGAGAAATGATTAAAATCCTTCTCCCTCCTCCCCTTCAACTCCCTCGTACCAAACGCACCCTTAGTGATATTATTGTTTCTTATAAATAGATAAATGTGTATAACTTCTCCCGAAATTCCCTTGAAAAAAGACATTGGTGGTATAGAAGTAAAAACATTTTCATAGACATACGCAGATGGATGAATATGTGAGGAAATATTGAAGTTCAGGTCTTTTTAGTATATCTGATGGAAAAGAAAAATTCTAATATATTTCTCTGGTTCTTAATATAAGACCTATTTAACTAATTTGATTAGATTAAGAAAGTTAGATAAGTTAGTTAATTATAAGAAATATGACATGTTTTTCTTAAAACACCATAATCATCCTTCTTAATATCCTTCCTCCTTCACTTACTTGACTATAATTGAGAGAGTATCCATAGGGGTAATTTAGAAAAAAATTGATAAATATAAGAAATAAGTTTTATATTTAAGAGTAAAATTAGCTTAACAATTAAGTCTTATATTAAAGATCGGAAGAGTATCAAAATGTATTCTCCACTTGTGTTCGAAATAATTTTTATGTGCTTATTCCTTACAAAATATTCTCTCTTAATTCTTAATATAAAAGATAAATAATTAATATCTATTAAAAGTTAATTAACTTAGTTATTAACAACAAATTTGTGTTAATTTTTCTAAATCTTATTTTCTCTTCATGTAAATAAAAACATAAATTAAAAAAAAACAACACAATACGGCAAATCAAGCGCCATGTGCATCAGATGACACATGTTTTTTTCAGTTCCATTTAGAATTCGCATGACTAAAGTAAAGAGTATAATTAACGGTCCACTTGTTCGATCTTTAAAGAAAAGGTTGGAAATATACTTCCAAAAAACTTTTTATCAAAGTCAAGAAGTTCTGGATAAAGCTTGTCTGTATTCCAATTTTATTTCTATAATTCTGGCCACATCTATGTCATCGTGATAAGATTATTTTTATAATTTATATAATATTTGTATTGGTGAAATGAAAACTACTCAACATAGTAATAATATTATAATCCTTGTTTCTCGAGACATATAAAATTGAAGGGTAAAAAATAATAAAAATATTGCACAATGCATCTGCAAGCATCACTTGACAATGTTGGACGGCTATATTTTACTACGTACATCTAATCGTTGAATTCTTTTATTTGTAAATGAATTTTTTTAAGAAAAAGTTAGTTTTTAATCCTTATAGATCTTTATTTATATGTAAATCTAACTGTTGAATTCTTTTATTTATATTTGAATTTCTTAGAGAAAAAAAAGTGGTTTTTTTAATGCCATTTAGGTAGTGTTTGGGTGACACCCCAAACCATGGTTTGGGGAATAATCTACCCAAACACTCCTCCAAAAACCAAAACCATGGTTTTGACTCCAAAACCATAGTTTTGGAAAAAGCAAAATTTTTTTGCTTTTGGAGAAAAAAGAGAGAGTGTGAGGACCTATATGATATGTATCTTGTTATTTTTTTTATAAACATATTTTTTTATAAATATATTTAATCTTATATTTTATAAATATATATACACATTAATTATTTATTAATTATATTATCTTATGTATTATTAATTATGTTGGTAAAAAACATATTATTAACAATTTTATTCCTTCAAATTAAAATATATCATAAAATATATTTTTTCTGTAATAATCATATTAACTTATGTCTTTTTTTTAGTAATTTGTATATATAAAAAGTACTTCTGATAACAACTATCCAAACACTCTCACTTCTCAGAATCACTTTTTTACAAAATCTATTCTTCACAGAATTTATTTTCTCCAGAATCTATTCTCCAGAATCACTTTTCCAAACCACGGTTTGGTTTCATCCAAACACACCCTTAATCGTACTTGTAACTTACTTCCTGAATTTTAACTTCTTGCAACTAAGTTTATGCAGTTTTAAATATTTGAATTTTAACTTACTGCAACTAATCCCACCCCCCCACAGGGAAGTCTACAATACGAGAGATTAGTCACTCCTGGAGGCAGTGAATATCTTGGGTTAAAAAAATAGATTTAAAATTTTAATCCTTAACCTTCATTAAATAGATAGGTTTATCTTTAAAACATGGAGAATGACTTTTTATGGTTATATTATAGGGATTAAGGTACATTAAGTCAACATTTAAAAAACTGGGTTACAACAAAATTAAAGTTACAATGACTGGCTGGAATTATAATGATAGGGACTAAAAAATTAAACTTGTCTGCCATTTTTTTAAAATTAAAGATAAGGGCCAAGTATCCGCCCACATGGTTTCTTATAAACTTATTTATTGACGAGGACCAAGAATCAACCCACATGGTTTCCTATATAATTATTTATTCACTAAACCTTCTTTTTTGTCAACGGTTCTTTAATAAAAGCTTACAAGCGAGGCAATATGTGAATGGACCCTTCTTGTCTAAACGCAACATCAACCAATTCATTCATAATTTTTACTCCTTCGGCCCTTAATATAAGACTAAATTTTTGAGTTGGTTTTAGTTTTAAATATAAGACTCATTTCTCATATTTATCAATTTTCTTTAAATTACCTTTATGGATACTCTCTCAACCATAATTAAGTAGAAGAAGGAAAAAGGGTATTAAAAAAGATGATTATAGTGTCTTAGAAAAAATGTGTTATTTTTCTTATAATTAACCAACTTATCTAACTTTTTTAATTTAATCAAATTAGTTTAAAATATCTTATATTTAGGATCGGAGGAGTATTATCTTTTTACAAAACTAATTTTGATGCTGCAAGCCACACAAGCAGGCAATAAACTTAAACTATTCGTCGAGAAGAAAAAAAATTGAAGTTCCTGTAAAAGCTGAGACCAGAAAAATATATATATATATATATATATATATATATAAAATAAAAGATCATCACTATTTCTAGAAAGCAAATAAATTATTTCTGTGAAAATTCCCAATATCACAATCATATAAAAATGACCCGTGACCTTGTACGACAACTCACAGTGCCGGCAACATTAACAAAACGACATGAAAAGCTACAGAAATAAACCCGTGACGCTCCCATCACACACCCTACATAAACGACTTCAAACTCTGCTAAACTCTGAACTCAATTCCAAACACATAATACTATTACCAGCAACTATAGCCACCCCAGCTATCTTCTTTTATGTGGTTAGCAAATAAACTCATTCCCAGTTTGATGTGATTAATGTGACCAAATTCATGATAGAAAAATTCTTAAGTACCCCTGATGCACTGGATGTACATAAGAATTTCTCATTCATGAAATTATTGTTAAAGGATTTCACTTGATTTGTGCTATTAGGTGCATCGCTCACGGGCAACACCGAGTCTCGAATTGGGCACATCATAGAGCACACGGTGGTTTTGTTGCTGCATGTTGGCGATGACATTGAGCACGGAGTTGATGTTGTCGGGCGCCGCCGCCATGGCGAGGCATGTGATGCCGCCGACGGTGCTGTGAATGAGGAGGTTGTCCTGTGGGAGCGTCACATTCATGCCCTTAAACATGAAAGTTATGGTAGGTGCATTTATTGGTACTTTGTAGCATGTGTCAAATCCTCCTAGACTTGTAACTACTAAATTTCTTCCCACTCGTCTTCGGAATGCATCTCGTACAGCAATATATGCTGGTTCAACCAGTCTGGTGAACACCGTACCTATGTATTTTACAAAAAAAAAAAAAAAATCATCAATGGCCCTGTTTGGCAGAGTATTAGAAATCACTTATAAGCACACTTCATGTAAACCAAGACAAAACTCATCTTACATACTTACTTCGTATTCTGTAAATCATGATTGAAAAGTTATTTATAAGCTATTCCGAACGAGTCCAATAGTAGTATCAATATAATCATTTACTTCACTCGTAACAAATGAATTGAACAATTCACCTCTCAAATTTTATCTTGAAGCTTTCTAAAATATTAGTATGAAAAGTTCAATGTCTCATTCAAAGGATAAGTTTTTCAAGGTAAAAAAAAAATTCAAAGGATCAGCTTCATTAAGACTAGGTCTTAGTAGCTTTCTACCTAATTGTCTACAGGTAATGTTTTTCCATCAGGAGGATACGTGAAAGTGATAGATGTGCACTAACTAGTAGCTTTTCACTCAATATTTGTTTCAATTTGACTAATTCAAACCCTTTTTTAGTTTTGCAATCATTCCGCTTTTAGAACACAAGCCCCTTAAATTGACCTCATTAATGTGATTTGCCGTTGAAGTGAAGAATGAATAAAGGAACCTATGGCCATGTCAATCCACTTGGTAAATCATTTACTTTTTTTTTTTTAAGCATAATAATTAAAATTAGTATTAACATTTTCTTGAACATAATATGCAGTGTGATGGAATGAGATTGGAACATTACCAGAATCAAAAATGGTGCCGGCACCGGTGGTGGGGTTGAAGGCCAAGGCAGCCGGCGGGATATCAACGATTCTCCGGCCAACCCGGATGCCGATTAAGTTGACGTAATAGAGTGATGATCTTCTAGGATTTTTCAGGAGAGGGGTGAACTTGATCCTTTTGGGCTGGGCTACAGGCCCGAGCTTCAAGGAGCCGGAGAAGTTGAGCGCCTTGAAGCTGGGCAAGCAGTATGAGAATGTAGATTGGTAGAGATGTTGGGTCTGGGATAACAGTGACAATGGGCCTCGGCCCAAGCCCAATAGGCCCTGTGCCGGAACAGAGCTCCCTGTGGTCTTCTGGATACACCCAAAGGCGTAGCCCGGAACTGGGTCAGCCGCCAGCTTCACGGTGTCTTGAACTAAGTTGGCCGCTATGGAGGAGCTGCCGTAGGTGAGGTTGAAAGCGCACGCGCTGCCAGCGCAAGTGGGATTGGGTACCTGAAAAAAAAAAAAAAACTATTAACTTCACGTGATGAGAATAACCGTTATTTGCTCCATGAGGCGTGGTGTGTGTTGTGAAAACCAGGGGCTCGTGAACTTGTGCCCCCACAAAGGTGGGCTACACCGACACACCGCCAGAGAGCAACCGCTTGATTAATGGGCAAGAATTGCACTCGCAGAAAGAGGCGGCGCGTGGCATCCAGCTATTTGCGGTGCAATGATGACACAAGGTATCATGTCGCGCGTCAGGAGATTCACAGCAACCACACATATTGGGTTGTGCAGATAATCGAGTACGTAAAACTTTTATTATATGCACAAAACTTTTTTGACGGCACATTGAGCTCATGCGACTTTATGTTAAGATATATGCGTTCACAGGAATCATTTGAACATGTCCCTTACGTTAAGAAATTAAAATATTCATTTTTTGCCAGTAAAATATTCACACATTAACTATTCACTCTTTTATACAAATATAAAAATTCTTTCTATTTTGGGAAAATTAGAAAAAAAGTTCTCATTAAAAGTTTTATTGATAGGAAAGATCTGATAATTTTTTATTAACAAAAAATATCCATATTCTTGTAAATTTAGTTCACTTGGATCGTTCTCACCCTTAAAATCTTTAATGAAAAACCTTTTTTTTTTCCAATTTTTCTTTCTATTTATGAGCTCCTCTTCCCACCTCAATTACAACGATTTTGATAATAGATAACTAACTAATTATTTATATTGATTTTATAAAAGTGATCAATTTTTTTACTGTCTAAATAATATTTTAATAATAATAAGTGGAAATCCTCTCTTCACGCGCCGTAGGACGGGCGCGTTAATGACAGGCGGATTCCACTTTGGGGAAAGATGCTGATCTCACCTGCTTGCACTGTGGAGCTCCACAGTTGACGTTTCTGGTGGAAATAGACTTGACCGGAGAGTAGACCACGGAGGAGGAACAGCCAACGCAGCCGTCGCAAGGTAGCCAGGCGGCGTCATTGTTGGTATCCATGGCCATGAGGAAGGTGCGAGGCGGCGTGCCGACCTTGACCCTCACAATGTAAGTAGGATTCTGGGTGATCTGCCTGCCGGAGGCGATGGGCACGACGGAGCGCCCCGCCACAAGGCTCGACAGAAACTGGAGGCGAGCCTTGTCGTCGGCCTGAAGCTGAAGAACGGTCTCCTCCCAGGAGAGTGGGGTGGAAGGCTTGAAGGGAGAGCATGGGCTGAAGACATGGAAGACTTTGAGGTCGGAGCCTTGGTCCTGAGCCTCACAGTTAGGGTTGAGGGCTAGGGTTTGGGGAGTATGGAGGAGGAGGAGGAGGAGGAAGAAGAAGAAGAAGGGAGGAAGAGAGACTGAGAGCTTCATGGCTATGGAGGATTTGGGTTTCTTTGGTGGTTTCGATGGAGGAGAGGCTGATGAATATATAGAGCGACGAATAAGGCTGGCCAGTTCTCGAGGTATTTTCATATTCTGGGACTAATTTTGAATGTAATTATTTTTGTTAAAGAAAAATGAATTCTTTTTATCTGGTTTTTCTTCAATTTTATTAACAAATATGATGGAAGTTCACTTTTTTTGTTTAAAAAAAAAAGAATCTTGGGTGTGTGTGAGAGGTAAATGGTGACGATAGTCTCCATAAATCAAGGCACAAGAATGTCTTAAACTTGGATTTATGTGAATTTTGTTACACAAGACAGTTATTGATAAGCGATGAACCAATTATATTGAACTTGGGATTCTCCCTATAGTAACTCAAGAGATCTAAGGAAATAACTGGGTTTTTAACATTTCGTTCTTCTATTTACTGTATACCTTCTCCCATTATTAAAAATATACTTGTTTGGTTTCATTTGGAAAAAAAAAAACTAATTTTTCATATAGCAAAACTCCTCAGCAGTAGTACCATGCTACTGGCATTTTGCATGAAATATTGAGACAAATTATTGATCATAAATGAGATGACTGCCTTAAATTTATGTATTATTCAAATCTTTGGTCACATTTGACATTGAACAGCTTGAAAAAATCTAATTTTACAATAGTTTGTCTAAATTTAACACGTTAACCGTTTTATGACAAGAATTTGAAAGGATTGATTCTTTTAAGTTTCAAATTACTAAATCCCAGATAAATTTTTTTTCACATATTTATATTAAATCAAACTCTTCCTCCTATGCAAGAATCCACCTTGGTAAACACATAATTATAAATTATTCTGCATCTAAAATTTCAATTTTATGATTTACCAACATTTAATATATATTCTCTCCTTCCCTTGTTATAAAATTCAAATAAATAAATTGTGAGATTTAAGAAAATTACTAAAATTAAGAAAAAATCATAAATATGTAAAAATATATTTTTTCTAAATACTCCTTCGATCCTTAATATAGGATCCAATTCTTAAGTTAGTTTTGGTCCTAAATATAAGACCCATTTATCATATTTATCAATTTTCTCTAAATTACCCCTATGGATACCCTCTTAACCATAATCAAGTAGAAGAGGGAGAGGGGGTATTAAGAAAGATCATTATGGTGTTTTAGGAAAAATGTGTCAATTTTCTTATAATTAACTAACTTACCTAACTTTCTTAATCTAATCAAATTAGTTAAATGGGTCTTATATTAAGGACCGGAGGAGTATGTTTCTATTTATAAGTGGATAAATAAATTTAAGAGAGACTAATAATAAGAAAAATAATAAAAGAAAATGTATGAAAAAATAATTTAGGTAAAATAATTACCTCTGCTATTTATAAAAAGAGATGAGGTAATTCAGGAATTTGGATTTTAAAATAAGAGATAGATAGAGGATATATATACACTCTTCCGGTTCTAAATATAAAACCCACTTTGTAGTGTAATTTAAATTATAAAATTGGTCTTATATTTAGGATTGAAAGAGTATATATATAGATGCATGTATCAAAAGAGATAAGCATAATATTGAAGCATTTCCAAGAGATGTGTGTGGGGAAGGAGGGTAGTGGGGGTGACCCATACGCTACGCTTTTCTGGGAAGTGAGGGACACATTAGACTCACAGTCTGTATTCCATTTTGTTTTGTACCCCCCAATTCTTTTTGTTTTAAATTGCTTCTATCAACCCAAATTATTCTAATTCATATATCCACACTAAAATATTTCCTTTTAAAAACAAAAACTACTGTTTTTAATTAATTTGTCATGGTAAATTTTGCATTTCATTTTTTTTAATTCGGCATACGCTTTTTCAACTTTTAAATTTAAAAAATATTACAGTTTCCAACTCTATGTGGTGCCTCAAGATTGTATATACGATCATTTGTTGTCTTTTAATCCTCTAAAACATGCTTTTATTATAGAAAGTATATTATTTAAATCACAAGTTTTTAGTATTTCAAGGGTAAAAGATATGTCCAATTCACTAGTTATGGGCAAAATTAAACAATATACTGCGTTATATTCCATAAACCTATATATATATATATATATATATATATTAGTAAGCGATATCTCACTGCAACATGTAACTGACATTATTACATAACATCCAACAAAGCATAATTACTAAAATACTAAGCCAACGAATTGCTATTTTTTTAATTCAAAATGATGTTTTTGTCGGATCAAAAAGAAGATGAGAAAAATATAAAATGTAAAATCCCACGATAAGAAGCTTGAAATTATTAAATTTTAAATCAGGTTTGATAAAAATATTTTAGTAGTTTTTTTACTAACACTTTAATAAGTTTTGATAAATGATAACGTTATTTGTATGAATTTCTTATTTAGAATTTAATAATTTTAAATATCTTTTTGTGAGATTCTTCTCACATTCAAAACTCCTGATTGAATTAGAAGATTGGTTAATTAATTTACCAATTGACTGATTGATGAGAGAGAGCAAATTTACAATGACATTTTAAGAAAAAAATAATTACAAGTAAATTTTAATGACAAGTGAACAGAACTTGTAGAAATTCAGTCATTATATCCTTTATGAATTTCATAGGAATTCTTCCAATATAAAATCATTATTTATGATAAATCACACAGCCATGGCATCATAGGACAGCGATCGTTTGTGTCGTTTCATAGGATACCCATCACCTAAGCATGTGAGCTTACTGTTTCATTACCCCCTTAAGCTTAACGGTATAATTGTTATTCGATCTTTAATCACCAACTTTTAAAATATCTTATTCTCAAAATTCTGTAGTTACAGGAAAATCTTTTCTATATGTTAATTGAGATTGAAATTTTAGTTAACAACCTTAAGAAATGCATAGCTTGATGCTAAAACTTCAAGTTCAGTAGCCAAGACACTATATTGGCTGTATTAGTTAGAAGCCAAAACTATTTTGCACAAAACTATTTTTTTAAAATTTTTAATTGAGGCATTTAATTAAGAAAAAATGGCACAGATATCAGATTAAAAATTGAGAAAAAGTATAGGTACATGCAAAATAATTTTTCTTAATTAAAAAACATTTTAAAGATGCGAATTATGCCTTCAGTATGAATATGATTATATATTCATACACTTTTTAAAATTATCAAATTTAAATGTATAAATCTATTTTTTTTTCCCTCGATTTTTTTAATTTAGCTTTAACGGTACGTTGAGCTGCATGATGATGGTACAGGAATAATGTCTGGGCAGCTTGTGTAATTATTACAAATCATTGCACAAACAGTATTGTCCAAGATTATTCATTCCCTGCTCCATTCGTCTTGCCCACACAGAAATCTGCTTCCTATTTTTTTCCCCCTAAAACCTTGGTCTTTTGTTTGTTAAACACACTTTTTAACTTTTAAATTCTGATATATCAGTTATAAAATTTTTAAATCATTACAATTTGATTTAAATATTAAAAAAGAATAAACTAGAAAAAAGCCATTTTCTACAACATGAGATAAAAATGTCAGTTTAAATTCAAGGTAAATATCATTATTTTAATATATTATCATTTTAATCTTCTTTGAAAAAAAATTATGAACCAAGATTACTAGAAAAGAGTGGGTGAGATTGTCTTCATCATATCTTTATTACGTGAATTAGAAAGTGGAAACAGTGACCCAAAAAAGTTGAAATGATAATGATAAAAAATTAAATTAAATAACTACATAAAACAAGCGTAGAAAACTAAAAGAAAAAAAAATAAAAAGGAACTTTAATCATTCAGAATCTTAATGGAATATATATAAATTAAAATAAATATCAAAGCCGAGTTAAGAGCACACTCACTTACCCACACAGAAACACCCGCTAAGAGGACAAGATTGAACCATTTCTAGATCTATCATTTCTCTACCTCACATTCCTCTTCCTTTTTAATTAATTTGTATGCTTTAGTTTTAAAAACTGCCACTGAGATCTTTGTCAGAATGGGTTTTTATGCATTTTTTTAACGATGTTTGCTTTTTATAATTATGTTTAAAAATCTCCTGAGAATTCAGGAAAACAGAAAGGTTATTTGAGAAATTAATTTTAATTTTAATTTTACTTGTTAGATTTTAATTTACTTTGTCTACTGAATTTTCAATTTTTTTTTCTAAATTACTTATATTGATGGAATATACTAAATGAAATTTCCATCTATATAATGAGTAATTGTTAGAAGGATATTTTATAAAACTAACGCATATTTACTTAATGCATTGAATTTTTTATAAGTCATAAAAATGTTTTACTTTACTTTATTTTCTATTTAATTATATTATGCATATCCCTCCCCCAATTATAACTCAGATCAGCAACTCTACAGACAGCCAAAAAATTATGGGTGAATTGGCATACAGATTAAATATTATTACAGTCTGACACATTTGAAAAATAATACGAAAAATGAATATTCTTTTTACGCTTTCTTTTTTACTTGTAAACCAATTTTATAATTCAAGATTAATGGATCTATTATATTGTTTTTCTACGCAAAACACACCATGTTCAGTACAAAGGGAATCCACATGCACGTGATTTTTCCATTATGATTCTCTCCCTTCAAGTGCTTTATCATGTGCATCCCCCAATCAGATTGATAGATAGGCTTGACGTTTATTAAAAAAAAATTGCTAAATTAAAATTAATTAATTAAGCAATTAATTATTTGAAATATGAATTTCGATGTAAGAATTGTTTACTTTTTTATATTTATAATTCTCATCATGTTCTTACTATAAGAGCTACTTAATTAAATTTAGCAGATTAAAAAAATAAGATCAATTAACTAAGGGTTAAGATACAAATATGCCTATGAACTTATATCAAATATTTGCCCAGTTTCATAAACAAACTTTGAGTGTAAAACTATACATAATGATTTTAAAAAGATACAAAAATGTCACGACTGCTAATTATTGTAACATTGACTATTTGTTTAAAT